TCCGCCCCCGGCCTCCCGCCCTTCCCCTTCCCGCCCGCTCCCCTTTTCCCCTCAGTCGCCTCGCGCCTGCAGGTAAGCTTCAAAATTCTTCCTCCGCCCCCGACTAGCGCTCTCTCTCAATCTTGCCATCTTTCTGAGCGGGCTTCGTTCCTCGTCGCGATCCCCGGCCTCTCGTAGTCCCGCGTGAGCGCCTCCCCCCTTACTATGCCTGGCCGGCCATTCACGCGAGGCCCCGGCTCTGGCGCGGCCTAGTAGGCCTCACGCAAGGCCTCTCCCCCTCCCCCCGCCTTTTCCCGGTGGCGGCTGCGCAGGAGTCGTGGAGGGCGCGCGCGCGGTAGGGGGGGCGGCGGTGGATTTGTTGGTTGAGGGGGGTGGGGGAGGCTATGGCCGGCTAGCTGGCCGGGCGGGTGAGCGCGGCTCCCCGCGGGGGTCAGGCGCTGGCGCAGCCACACGAGGAGGCGCTGCTAGTCCGGCCCCTCCCCCTGGAGCGCAGCGCCCCCCCCCGGCCGAACCGTTTATTCCCCCTTTCCTAGTCGAGGGACTGGGGAGGGGGGGGAAGCATTTTTTTTAAGGGGAAAATGCTTGGATGACCGAGGGGAGGGGGCCTGCGCAGTTAAAGAATGGGAGGCGGGCTCCCATTTAGGGAGTTATTCAGGACGTTCTCACGGGTAACGAATTCTGAAATTACAAAATGCCTGCCGATGGAGACACAGACCGAGCTATTTATAGGAGGGTCATGGCCTGCAGGCGGAACGGCGGGATTACTGGGTTTGGGTCCGCTTATGTCCACCTAGTCAGGAGAGATGACAGGGATACTTGGGTGATTTGGAATTGCAGCTTGACACAAATGATTTCAAATCGGTTTTAAATTTTCTCTACCTTTCGAACTTAATTTGTGAGGTGCTCTCTGTTACGTTTGAATGGCGACGACGAATTGTGAACTCTCAGATTTTTACCGTCTCTGTTAAAGTCATTCTTCCTGACCTAACTCGTTCCCATCCCCCACCAACACTGTTGTTTTTCCATGCGTGAAAAGTGTTGAATTCTGGGATCTTGCCAGCAATTAATTATATTCTGAGAGTGGGGGAATGAGGTGCTTTGGGGATGCAAAGCCCTTCTTTAAATAATTTTTCCTCCAGGTAGCCACAGGGCAACTTGCCATATACAGAATAGTCTGGCGGCTACTTACACACTTTAAATATATAGGAATATGGGCTTTGTGTTGGAGCAAAATTGAAAACAGTGGCCGGTTTTGTGAAAGAGGAAAAGGCTTGCTGTATTTGGTAGAGAATTGTAAAGGGACTGGTACTAAAAATGTTACTGGTGAAATATAACAGCTTTGGAGAGATCCTTTTTGAAGTTAACACCGTGGGTGAGATAGATAGCCAAAAACAGAATTGTTAAGGAACATTTCAGAGGATAGATCAAGGGGCAGGGCCTCCAAGGTAGAAAAAATCTTTATTGCTGTTGCTTAAAACAACTGCACAATAAGTTTTAGCAATAACAGCTTTTATTGTTTCCTTTGGAAGGAAATTTAAGCTTTGACTGCCTTGAATTAAAGACTGGCAACAAAAGTTATTAATACCTAGAAACAGTTTTACAAAGCCGAGTCACCAAATTGTGTTGATGAGAAGGAATAGGAAGACTTGGGTTGTAGGTAATGCCTTGCCTCCGTGCCCAAAGGGAACTGGAACCCAAGCCTGCAGGGAGGCATTTCAGATAATGGATTTTGAGTGAGTTTTTTGATTTAAATCATTTTGCAAAATTGTTTGGTGCTATCCCAGCTATCAATATTTGAAATTTTAGTGTGAGATTTTATTTAGGAATTATGAGGAAGAAAATTTGTGTTTTCTCTACCTAGCTGACCTCAACTGTAGTTGATTGGAGTTTCGCCTCCTGATTTCCAGGTGTTCATCCTGTTGAATCATATTTTGCTGAAGGTCAATTGGTGCACTTTCAGCATTTCCTTAAAATCATTGCCAATTGAAAGAATCTTTTTCATCCTGAGAGTCAGCGAAACCCTACCAATAATGAGAACAGACTGGAAAGCCGTCCATATTCCGTAACAGAACCTGAGCTGTAAATGGTGTTTAATGCAGTTTTGCTGGATGCGTATAAACCTGCCAACTAACAGGCTGTCGTTTAAGGGAAGGAGTCAGTTAGAAAACATTGACAATAGTGGAAATAAGTTTGGGAAATATTACTCCTATTTTCTTCCTGATTTTGATTATGTTTGCATTTCAGTTTTTGGCTTTCACCCCCACCAGTGACCAAAGACTTGACCACTCAAAGTCCAGCTCCCCAGAACACTGCTCGACATGGACACCGGTGTGATTGAAGGTGGATTAAATGTCACTCTCACCATCCGGCTACTTATGCATGGAAAGGTATGCACCAGCTTGGGAAATTGGGTCATTGTAACTGCTAGGGGAGAGGCCAGGAAGAGAGGGCATGTGTCTTGGAGGAGCTCATCAGATTAGCACTGTGGGGTATCTGGCTTTAGCGTTCTTCTCTAGCACATGGAACAGTAGAGAGAAAATGGACAGACTTTACTAGGAAGTTCCACTGAGCAGAAGGACTTAACTGGAGGCTGGAGCCAAACATCATACCTGGATGACAAGATTTTTCTCATAGGGGTTGTTAATAGCTTGTAATGGATAGGTTTCTCATAACCAAACAATTTAGGAAAAACTCAGAGATGATACATTTGAGATTTTAAATATATAAAGTGCAAAGATAGCATTTAATCACTTCTGCATCGTTGCTTTAAAATTCCTTCACTTCTATTTTAAGCAAAGAAAAGAATAAACATACCCACTCCCCTTTCTAATAAATCCTAGTTTATCAGCTGCTTTGGGCAGTTAAGAATTCCTTTTCATGATGATCAACACTTGTAAGTTTCTCCTTATTTGACACTAGTTTTCTCCATTACAGGAAGTTGGCAGTATCATCGGAAAGGTAAGATGGTTACACTGCAACTCTAATTACTGTCTAGTTACTTTGGGTTGAAATAGCGGTTGGCACTAATACTTGGCTTTTCCCCTTACAGAAAGGAGAATCAGTTAAGAAGATGCGAGAAGAGGTGAGTTATGGGGCCTGAGTACCGTTGCCTTGGGAGCCTTTAAAACAAGCAAATATTTTGTTAAAGGAGAGATTAGAGAGGGGTGACATCTCAGGTAATAGAAAAAGCTGGTATTTTTTTGTCTTACTAATTTATGACAATGTGTTGAGACTGCGGGAGCTTTCTGTAGTCTCTGGACAGAAAAAAAAACAAACCATAGAGTTGGGAATGATGGTGATGTTGCTTTGTTGGCAGTGCCTTGCACATCTTTAGACAGGGCAATTACTCTGCAATATATGTATGCAGATCTTCTTGTGTACTTGACCTATTTTGGCTCTTTTTTATCCAGAGTGGTGCACGTATCAACATCTCAGAAGGAAATTGTCCTGAGAGAATTATCACCTTGGCTGGACCCACTAATGCCATCTTCAAAGCCTTTGCTATGATCATTGACAAACTGGAAGAGGTGTGTTGTTTACCCCAAGTTACTCTTCCCTTGTTCATTTTAAGTGCCTCTTAGCTTAGTGGTTTTTGTAAGAGCTTTTTAAATTCAAGGAGAGCATGGATCATAAGAATCTGTAAATGTAAATTGCTCCCCTTCATCATCCCCCAAGTTTGATCATTTTTAATTGAAAAATGAATAACTTAAATCATTAAAAACAAAATGGGTCCCTCCCTGATGGTGCAGCAGGTTAAAGCACAACACTATGAAGCTAGCTGCAGCCGCTTCAGCACGAGTTCAGTACCGAACAGGGAGGTGACCCACATGGCCTGGCAGACCTGTCTGTCTCACTGCTCCCCACTATCTGGTGAATCCTCTCACAGCCTCTGCGCCTCTGACCTGTACCCCAGTTCTGTATACATAAATAAATCTTTTTTAAAAAACAGTGGTGTGACACATAACATACTAAATATAAAACATTTGTGTGAGAGCCAGTTATCTAGTTTCTATTTCAACAATTCTGAAGATATGACACCATTTTGTTGGTAAACTTTGTCCTTCTTGTGCATACTTGAGTCAGTTATTATTTTAAAGATTTATTATTTATGAAAAGAAGAACTGGGGTATAGGCCAGAGGGCGGGGGCTGTGAGAGGATTCATCAGAGGCAGAGTGGGGAGCAGAATGGAGCAGCAGGTGAGAGAGGAAAGATCTGCTGCAACATGTGGGTCAGCTTCTGGGCCAGGGAATGGCCACTGATAGCTTTGATAGTGTTGAGACTTAACCTCTTGCACCACTAGGATGGACCCTATACTTGAGTGAATTAAATGTTCGTTAAGGGCCTGATAAACACCCAAGACATTCCATAAGCACTTATGTATTGCTACCTTAACAGTGTTTTAAAATCTGATAACTTTTAGGGCTGTACTTGGAGGAAAAGTATGTTTTATAGATTCTCAGGGCAATTATTGGTGTGTTTTATGTAAACTTTTTAAACTGGGAGGAGGGAAAATGCAATGATAAAGGGTTTTTTGGACAAACCATTTGAACGAGCAAAAAACACTATCGGAAGTCTTGCCTGTGGTTCCTCCTCTCCTGGTAGTGCTGTTCCATCTTGGAATTGACGGTACAGGTATAGGAAAGCTGGTGGTGGCTTCTTGATTGGCAGTTGGGTACCTATTAGTGTAAACACTAAAATCAGGATTGTTATCTCTTGAGCAGCAAGACCCTGATAATGCAGAGCTTCTGCCTTAAACTGTGAAAAAGCCTACAGTTAATTCCCTTAACCAAATAACAAATATCCTTGAGTTTGGGGTTTATGTTTTAAGTAGTTGCCAGGTTTGCATACTGCAGAGGGGTTAGGCCAAGAAGTGGTTTTAAGCCATTTAGTTTCCAGAAGACAAAATTTAACAAGGTTGAATCATGACATTTGGGTAGAACGTATTATTAGGGGAAAGGCTGTGGGCTTTGGAGCCAGGGCAGTCCTTTGGTTTTAAATCTACAAACTTTGGAATTTGATTAAGGCAGTATCACTGTCTCTACAGTGATAATAATGTTCATCAGAATTACAGATGGAATCTCGTAATCCTAGTTTTTAAAGAATTGGTTATTCGAATTTGGGATTGCCTATTTTGCTTTTCTCTTTAATGTAGTTGACTTAATTTTGACCTTAATGTTTCCTGAATAATAAAGTTTATTTCCAAAACACTTTGCCTAAGGTGAACTGCTTATTACGAGAAAATTTATAGGTGTTTTCCTTTTCAAAAATAGCTGTTTTGTTGGGGGTATTTGTGGATGGTGGATCATGACTTAATATTGTACCTTATTTTCCAGGATATTAGCAGCTCTATGACCAATAGCACAGCTGCCAGTAGACCTCCAGTCACCCTGAGGCTGGTGGTCCCCGCTAGTCAGTGTGGCTCTCTCATTGGGAAAGGCGGTTGCAAGATCAAGGAAATAAGAGAGGTTGGTAACTCTGTTCCTTTGTTAGCTGTTAGTACAGCTAGGAGAAGTTCGATTTTGAAATGAAGATTTTTATTAGTGTAACAGTTGTAAGGTTAGAATTTGTATTGGGGAAAGTATTTTTGCAGTTGACCCAATTAAAAAATTTTTTAAACGATTTATATAAACAGGCCATGAAAAAGTTGAATTTCCAGGTATTGTTTGACCTGTTTACATTTTTTATTAATCTGGCAAGTTTTCCTTGTGATGGCATAATTCTTTTTCATATCTGAAGGTATTACAGTTCGATACATAGTAATAAATTCAGAAAATGCATAAACAGGAAAATGGGAAAGTATTTTGGAATGTGGTTGTAATCTTGTTCCCTTTTAAATTGTGGCAGTTAAATTGAATTAGGGCAACTCAGTTGTACCTGCGAGTTACTAAATTGGATGTTTTAATGAAAACTTGAATGACAGTTGAAGGGGAACTTTTGGAGTTACTGGAAGCCTGTCGAATGTGCCATCAGAGCAGGGAGTTTGGTTTTGTTTGTTGGTGTATTCCAAGTGCCTGTAATGGTTCCTGGCACTTAGAATGGACTTACATCAATACTTGTTCAGTAAGAGAATCAGAGTGGGTGATGTTTGTGGGGAATTTCCTTGATGGCCCAAAAAGCTATCATTAGCTGAGAGGAAACTGTCTAGAAGGACCTTTTTCTTGAAGGCAGGTTAAATTTAGGCTGTTATTCAGCCTTCTTCTTGGCTTTCAGTAGCTAATTTATTTTTAACTGTGATTAAACACTCCTATCTGGAATTAAGGGAACAGTGGGAAGGGAGGGAAGATAGGGGAAGGTTGGGTTAAGTGTCCGCTGAACTTGGCATTCTGAAATTGCTGGGAAGGATTGAAAGACTGAGGTGATTTTCTCTGATTCATGGTTTTTCTTTTCATTCCAGAGCACAGGGGCGCAGGTCCAGGTGGCAGGGGACATGCTCCCCAATTCAACTGAGCGGGCCATCACTATTGCTGGCATTCCGCAGTCCATTATTGAGTGTGTGAAACAGATCTGCGTGGTCATGTTGGAGGTAAGCCCTCAGGCTCATGCTGAGACTGGGGGAGGGTGCTTCTAGGGAGACAGACCGATCTCTATTTAATAGGATTAGAATTAGGTGAAGCTTTCAGTGGGGTAGGAAGAGGTTCCCAGAGCTCACACTTCCCTTTCGCCAGCTTTGATTTTCTTACAGTGTGAGCAAAAATAGAAACAGCCAAGCAGCAGTGGTCTTACTGTTCGCAGCAGTGGTTAGTGAGGTTGGTAAGGGAGGAAGAGTTACCACTTGGACTGAGTGAACGAAATACGAGTCTGGCTTCCCGAGCAGCTAAGTTGCCTTTTCGATTACAATATTTTGGCTACCTGCTACTTTGACAGTATTATTTTCAAAAAGGTAGTTAGAAAAAAAATATCCATGTGGTGTTTTCTGCGCAATGTATGAGGTTTTGGTATATGCTATTCAGTTAAAACTCTCATTTCATACCCAAAATGAGAGTGTAAGAAAGGTCCCGTATTGGTGAGCAAGGAGAGCGGAATGTCGAACTGGAGTTTCAGAAGTTGCTGGTTACATCATTGTTATTACTTAATGGACAGTGTGCGCTACCCTAGACATACAGGGGCACTTCTCTTTATTTCCTCTTCAGGCCAAGATGTTAGAGCCTAAAAATTACCATTTGAAACATAGTTGTGTACAATTACAGTTTTCATGTTTGTCAGATTTACTTGAAGCATGGAGATAATGCCTAAATTATTACAGGGGAATCTGCCTTGATGAGAATTAGTGTGAGCTGTATAGTCCACGGACCATCTTACTGCTTTAAAGGCAAATAACTGCAATGATTTGAGATTAGATCTAGCCAGAGGCGACGTTGGTAGGTGAGGGGATGGAATATTAACAGTTTTTAATTTAACTGACCTGTGTGAGCTTAAGCCACACAGCTGAAGCAGCTTTGAAACCTTATCTCTTTTTGTTTTTTTCCCCTCTGACTCTCTCCCAGTCCCCTCCGAAGGGCGTGACCATCCCGTACCGGCCCAAGCCGTCCAGTTCCCCGGTCATCTTTGCAGGTGGTCAGGTAAGAAAGTCTTACTGATGGGCTAGCGTGAACAAGGGGTGTATTTGAAATGTCGACATGGCCGGCAGCACACCAGGCCACCCTGCATGCTTGCTGAAACCTGTACTCCACCCAGAGTCTGACCTGCTTTGAGTTTCATTCATTTATTTATTTTTGACTAGAGAAAGCTATGAATGCCAAGCCTTTAATTTTTATCAGGCAATGGAAGTTTTGTAGGCACTCAGAAGAGGTAATTTATTTGGTAATTTAAGGTGGGTTGGATTAGAAGAAAGGGTTAAACTTACTTGATGTCACTATTTCTTTCCCTAAACCCACCCATCCATGCTTTTTTTTTTTTTTAAATGTGTGGTACGTTCTTTAGAGGTTTGAATAAAGATAGCAAAGAATTGGACCTCTGAAGGAGATTATGGATGGTGGTCTCAAAATTGGGGAGGTCATGAACTTGAGTGTCCTACAAACTTCCCCTTCCCTCCACCTCACCTCCCCTATTCCCACCCTTTCACTCCCAGACTCCAGGGTGTTCCCCTCGGGCTTTTAACCTTATGAACACTGGTTTGAACCCACATGGCGTAAAACTGAAATCAGACGTGGGGTAAAGGTCAGTGTGCAAGACGAGAGAAGGCCGTGGTGCTGTGACCTTTGGTGTCAGAGTAAGACACCAAAGTGCCTCCTTGGCCTCTCTACTCCTTCACCATCTGAAACTCTTGGTCCTTGGCACGTGATTTATTGTGAAGTCAGATTTATGTGATGAACATGGATCAGCACCATAGTTTTTGCTTTATTGGTTAGAATTTGAGAGATTGGTAGGTCAGTTTCTGGTTTTCTGGTTGTAAAACAAGCTTCATGTTGTTATTTAGCTGCCTAAGCAAGTACTTTGCGCAAAATGCCTTTTCCACTTTTGGGCTGGCCTGTTAGAACTGTATTCAACTAGTTCCACCTCGGGTTTGAACTGGGAATCATAAACTTGGAAGTTGATCTCGTTCACATTCTGTTGAGTTGGCATAAAACTGAGCAAAGTTTCCGGGATTTAGTTTGTGGAGGCTGTCTGAAGTTAGTCTTGTCACAGTGTTACCTTTAGACAGTTGAGTACTTTGCTTTCAGTGTTAGCCTGTACAAACTGGTTTGGCTAGAAGGCAATCAGTCTGTCAGATTGGAAGGATAAGCAAAGGCCCACAGTCGGGTAGCTAGGAGGGTTTGGCTGTAGTTTCCCTTCTCCTGGGGAACTTCAGGTTCCTGCGCTTCTGGATTCTTTCACTCCCATTTGGAATTCTTGAGAGTCACGTGTTGGTGTGACAGCGATTCTCTCCACAGTCTTCATTTATGTCCTACCCCTTCCCCACCTCTCCTTTCATGCCTTCCCTCCCTCCCTTAACTTATTCAGTTGACCGCCCTCTAAAAGCTTGCAACTTCTTCCATGAGTGGCCCTGTCATGAATTATTTCTCCTGGGCCTTTTTAAATGGACCATTTCGTGTGATGTCCATAGATGGACCTATATATGTATTTTGTTCAAAGTGGGCTCTATAGGGGTTCAACTCATTCCCACACCAATCAGGAGCTGGCACAGCTCGGTGGCCCTACCCCTTCATTCTTATGAAAACAGCCCAATTGTGCAGTGTGAAACCTGCCACTAGGTAACTTTTTTTTTTTTTTAATTCACTGATTGCAGCTCGTTTCAAATTGTGTTGTGAGCTCCTTTTTAAAGGAAGAGAAAAAAATTAAACAACTTTTTTTGTGTGAATTTCATGCTGGTGACAAGGTGCCGGATTGACAGCCCTGGAGACTGAAATCCTCTATTTATCCACAGGACAGGTACAGCACAGGCAGCGACAGTGCGAGCTTTCCCCACACCACCCCGTCCATGTGCCTCAACCCTGACCTGGAGGGACCACCTCTAGAGGTGAGAGGGGATGTTCAGTCTCCAAGGCTCACTCAATCCTTCCGCCTCAGCCGAGACTGCCAACACGCGGGGGGCCAGTGGCGCTGGTGATTTTTATGCTGTGGACACCACCTGTCCACGGGGACCTGGACTGACCCCCCCACCTCATTTCACACAGGCCGCGTAGCCCACCAGATGGTAACACCAATTTTTTTTTCTTTTTTTTTCTTTTTGTTTTTTTCTTTTTGTTTTTTTTGTTCGAATCCTCTACCCTATTTCCCCACTCCTCCTACCCCATTTTCACCTTCCCACCCCCACCTGAGTTCACTTTTGTGGTTATTGGCCACCGAGATGTGAGAAGCATCACATCCTGTTAAAACAGCCACTCCATCCTTCCCTCCCTGCTCCTCCTCGTCCCCATCCCATTGCCCTAAAGACCCAGCTCCCTTTTCGGGAGGTTGTGGTGTGGGGGGAGGAGGGCGTAGTGGGAGCTGCAAGTGCCTGTTCCGGAGGGGAGGTGGGAGAAGGCAGGACTTAGAGCACTGTGTGCGCGCGCGTCCGTGTTCCTCTGGTCAGCTCCCTAGTGTCAGGGATCCAGCCAGCTTCCAGTGCGCTTAGGGTCTTCAGGGAGATGCAGAGACAAATACGATAAGGGGAAGGGGATGTTTCAGAAACACGCCATGGAGGTGCGGACACAAGTCATCCACTTTGTCACGACTGGTAGAAAGGTTGGGGTGGTTGAGGGAAGAGACCATTTTCCTTCTAGGCTCTCTTGTACGCAAAGGGAAAGGAGGACTTGGTGGATTTGAGGCATTGCTTAATCCCACTTCCACGTTTTCATTAAGAGACATGTGTATTTTGCCTTTGATTGTAGTGAACATGGCTCCCTTCGTAGGTTTCCCGGAACAATTCGTCATATTTAGAGTTCAAAGAAGGCCAACTCAGGTCCAACTGTATTTGTGAGATACTATCTTCCCTCGCTCCCTGGCCTCCCTATTCTCTAGTTCAACTCTGGCTTCCTGGCTAGTTAAAAAATCTGTCTTTTTCCCCCCACTGGGTGGCTGTCCGTGATTGGTTTTTAATAGGAACTGTTTTCCTCCTTTTGTAGGCCTATACCATTCAAGGACAGTATGCCATTCCACAGCCAGATGTAAGTTTTGTTTTCACTTCTTGTTTTGAAAAGTTCCCTCTCCCATCCAAAATTGTCTCACTTGTTTCTCCCACATAGGCGAAGTGAGTTGGGTCTTTGCTTTACTATGTTGTTTTCCTCACAAGGTGAACCCCGTATTTTAGTCCTTAAATAGTCTTTATTCAAGACATAGTAGCATTTTGTTTATACTTTTGATATTTAATCCCTGGAAATTTTAATCTGGCAGGTTATATTCTACTTTTGCCCACGTTCCAGATTGCTCCATCTAAAAGATAAAATGTTACCTGGTATATCATCATTTGTTACTTCAGGGCACGGGTTAAATTGACAATGGATTATATCTTTGCATGGATCTTTCCATGGGGTGGGTGGGCAATTGGGTTTATCCTTGGGTACTCTACAGTGTGAGGTGACAAATTAAAAAGCATCTGGAGGGGTGGGAAAGGGTTTTATTTATACTTGGAGGGATAGGAAGCTCAACATTGAGAGATGCAACATAGTTCAACCTTCCCTGTCATTAAAAAGTGGTGTTCACACTTTCGTTTAAAGCATTTTTTTCTGCACTTTTCCTCTGTCCTTACTAATCCTTTCAGGTGCTGAGCATTAGACTTGGGAAGTTGAGATTGGCTCTTGCTTAGTGGTAGGCCCCAGAAGGGCAAGTAGACTTTTGAAGAGGGATTGTTTCATAACAGCCAGGGTCATTAAATAGATGGAGGAAAATAGGTGTAGAAATTGGGGGTATTGGAGGGCTTAACCCCAGTTTGGCTTTATTTCAGTCTCTCTTCCTTGCAGTCTCCCTGCCCCCTCATCTCCTTCCCTCCTCCCAATACTGACAGAACCCTGCATGGTGTGTGTTCCCTAGCACCACTGCACAGTTTGTTTACTTAGCCTGTCTGTGCTTGTCCCTGGGGCAACTGTTGCAATGGCTGCAAACACCTTCATTAAACAGCCCACCAGGGGATGGTCAGGCGGTGCTGCTGCTTTCCTTTTCACATACCAGGATGCATTCATTCTCGTACTCTGACCACCTTTCTATTTCAAACTCTTAACCTTCCTATTCTGCCAGTCCCCAGGGCTCTGTCATAAGCGCCCCTTCTTACTCTTTGTAGCTGGAATAGGAGAGTCAACTGTGGGGATCAGGAGCTCTGCCTTGGCAGTTTTGAATGTGCTTGGGCCCTGGCTCGTTTTCTTCTAATGCCAATCTCCTGTTTCTTTCCTGCAGTTGACCAAGCTGCACCAGTTGGCAATGCAACAGTCTCATTTTCCCATGACGCATGGCAACACCGGATTCAGTGGTATGGACACCTCCATGTTTATTTCTGTAAGGTGTAGTGCCAGACAGAGGCCAGCCCCCAAGGTCTCAGTTTCGCATCTGTTTAAAACAAAACTTACCCAGCATCCTGCTGGCTTAAACTTGCCTGTCTTCTATGGCTAAACCGAAGGAGGTAATGTGTTTGTTAACATGGTTTTCATTTGGGGTGAGCTATTCTAAAGAAAAAAAAAAAAAGGCCCTTGGAAGGTTTTTGGTGAGGTCTGGGGGTGCTTGTCGGGCAAAGGGTAGGCTGATATTTCTTCTAACTCACCCTTGCTGCTGCCCTTCTGATCTGATCAGCACCCCCTTTCTCTCCACCACCCATTCACAGACCTGGGTAGAGACAATCCATTTGTGCCAAATTGTGTAGTGTAATTTTTATTTGTTTTTGTTTTGTTTTGGTTTTTTTGGGCTTTTTTTTTCTATATAAGGAATAACTTGTCCGATAGGGTTAGGATGAGACCACCAAACTCATTTTCACTTGTATCTTAACAGGCATTGAATCCAGCTCTCCAGAGGTGAAAGGCTATTGGGGTAATGATTAAAAAAAAAAAATCTGTAGTATTCTACTGTTATATTAATAAATTGGTGGGAGTCTTGTTTCACTGCCCATGAACCATACCATCAACATGCACATGGCAGAAAGATGCTGAGAGAGCAAAGGGGTGGGCCTGGTGCCCCTCTGAGGGTCCCTTCATGGATCTGGCCAACCCCCTTCTAAAAATGATGAGTTTAATAGTGGCAATTGAGAGCCAGGACCAACTTTGAGAGTTAGCCAGCTTGACCTGGTTTAGGCCAGGGGTCACTGTAGATGGGTATGGGTGTTTGCTGATCAGATTTTTTTTTTCTTTTTCTTTGAAAATAAAAACCAGGACAAATTATCGAGCAAAAGACAGGGAATAAATCTGGAGAAATAAACTCCCTACTCCCTTCACCTGCCATTTTATTCTCTGACCTTCAAGTGTAGGTTAGGATGGGGGAGGGGGAGGAGTGTTAATCTGATACAGGTATATTTAAAGCAACTGTGCATGTGTGCCAAGCCCGTGGTACCCAGTAACAGGCATGATATTGGCACTGGTACTAGTGAGCATCAGGTGAGATAAAATTGGAGCACAACAGCAGGAAAACCCAAGCAGAAAAGGGGTAGAAATCCTGAGGATTTGCTTAGATTTTTGGTCCTGTCTGAGGATTCTACATTCCCTTGCCCCTTCCATTCCCTCACACCTTACTAGGCTGGGCTTTGCAGGAAATGGCATGAAACCCGCTCTTCTGAGTGTACAGAAGAACCTTTCCAGCATTATTTCTACACCCCTCTCCCCCCTTTCCTCCTTGGAGGCTTCCAAGTTAGTGATGAACCCCAACAGCCAATGCTGGGTTTCCAGTTTTGTTTCCTTCTGTTAGGTTAATGTGCAATCAGTGGAGATGCATGTGCTGTGTGTTAAACTTCCTTGCTCTCTTCTGTCTTTTAGCAGGTTTGGATGCATCTGCTCAGACTACTTCTCATGAACTCACCATTCCAAATGACGTAAGTGTGGGTAGTTGGGTTACATGGGGTGGAAGTAAGAGTCACCTTAGACTAGCGCCCTCCTTATAGTGGTGCTGCTCTCAGGCTGTGCAGGGAAAGAAAATGGGTATTTTTAGATACAGGTTTAGAATTTGATGTGGAAAAAGTGCCTGGGATCTGAATAAAACACTGAGAGAGAACAGTTTGAGAAGTAATTTGCTGGGGCAGCATGAGTCAGGATGAACTTATGTGTAACAGAACTTCCTGTGGAATCCAAAGTCTTACCAGTGAGGCAGTGGTGATTAGATTGTTGTCTGTGCTGTCCAGCATGGTTGACATTAACCACGTGTGACTGCTTAGCTATTAAGTCAGTGTAGTCCCACTAGCCACACTTCAAATACTCGACGACTTGTGTTACTGGCACGTACAGTGTTGGGCATTGCCAATGTAGGCCAGTTTATTGCTGCTCCTCAAGGCAAAAGCTTAAGTTGGAATTTGTCATTACAGTAGTGGTAGTCATGGCAGGCTGAGCTTATGCATCTTTGTTGCCAAGAACCAAAGGTATTTTTAACTTTATCTCTAAACACGGTAAGGTTTATTGTCATCTTGGCTCTGCGTTAGCTCATCTTTGGAGTTAGTGCTCCGAGGAAATGCTACCAGGAGTCTGCTCAGAGTTGATTGGCCATTGGTAGTGGTCATACAGGAATGGGGCCAGGAGTTGACATAATCTAGCTCTGTCAGGTTTTTCAGTCAGGAGCGTGTGAGAGTGGATGGTGCACGAAGTGTCTGCTGACAGTTTTCTGGACCCAAGCTATGGAAAGCTGGGAAGGGGTGGGATGGAATTTCCATACTGAACCATGCAGTTCTTTAATTTGGTGTACTTTGTTGTTTTTCTCCCTAAGTTGATTGGCTGCATAATCGGGCGTCAAGGCGCCAAAATCAATGAGATCCGTCAGATGTCTGGGGCGCAGATCAAAATTGCGAACCCAGTGGAAGGATCTACTGATAGGCAGGTCACCATCACTGGATCTGCTGCCAGCATTAGCCTGGCTCAGTATCTAATCAATGTCAGGTAAGTGTTTCCTCTTATTGCTAGCACAAGTAGTAGATGTGCTGGGTAAAGCTTTGATGTATTAGAGTTTATTTGGGGGGTGGGGGTGGAGTAGATGGGTGGGGGGTTGCAAAAAAAGAGAAGGGTTAACCGTAGCCCTTTCTTCTTTTATGGTATAGCTGAGACAGTAGCCAGATAGTAATAAGTTTGCATGGGGTAGAGGGAGGGAGAGGGAGAAGAGAATGTTTGCTTTTGACTTAATGGTGATGAGGAGAGTGGAAAGGAAGGAATGTGTCTTCACTTGTAGGATAGTGCTCTGGCTAGAGCTCCCATACATACATAGAACCAAGTATTTTGGGTTGCCAGAAAAGTCAGTGATTTTTTTCCAAGCAAAAACAAGTCGTGGCTTTTCTGACAACCCAGTCGGTTGTTGCCCTGCTGTACATGTTCATGTAGATCAGTGTTCTTTACCTGGCTGGGTTTAGATTATATAGTTCTCGTCCTTCGTTGAAATAAGAATGACAACAAGGTAGTTGTTCTTGTGGGTGGCCGTTACCATTTATTGCTGCAAACATCCATTTTTCACAGATGGCAAATGTGTTCATTGTTCAGAGCTTGTAGGCAAGAGAAGGCACACGTGCTGGGAGGCGCCTCATGTGCTTGCTTTCCCACCGTCACATCCTTCAGCAACTCCTGAGCTTTTAGGGATTTCTCTGTGCCAACTTCATGGTAGCAGTCCCACGAGTGGGGTAGGTCCATTCACTCTGTAACGGGCCCCGTAAGGCACTGACGTCTCTCGCTTTCTCAAGCACAGTGACAAAGTCACGTTCTTGGTCACCAACATCCTAAGCCAGTGTCAGCCTGTTCTCAGAGGGACTTCGCTGTCTTAGAGATACTGGCCAAGTTCCCATTTGACTCTCTCTCACTGCCTGGTTTCTCTTGTGGGTAGTTAAGTTTTTTTGACTCTAGTGGAAGGGAAAGTGATTCATGAGTTTCGGAAGTAAGTTTCTGTTGTGCTCATGCTGACTCTCTACTCTGGTCTTTTATCCTGGTTCAGAACTTAACAGATCTGCACACCGAGGTTCTGATTTTTGTCGTCTTTTCATGTCTTGAAGTATCCAGTGTATGTAGGAAAGATGTTGGCTGTGTTCAGATCTGCTTTCTCCCTTTGAGTAAGCATTTAGCTGCAAAGCACGTCCAGTTCTTACTGTTCAGAATGAAATTGTATTAACTTCTGCACAGATACTGTTTTATCTTTGTGTTTCTTATTGGGGGAGGTGATGTTAACATTGCAAGAATCATCTTCTTGGAAGCTGGAAATTGTTTTTCTCCTTGAATAACCTTGCCCTGAATATTGTCCTAGTGTTTCAGTGTGACCTGCTTGCCTCACCCCTCTATTTAGGTCAGTGACTTAGCAGGACTTCTCTTCCAGCTCACTTTTCCTGTTTGAGTCATTCTTTTCAGGATCATCCTTACTGAATCACTGGCTATTCCGGATCATCCCATATATTTAGTGAAACTGCCCCAGGTAGGGGTTTGGGTCAGAATTTCATTTCGTACCAAAGCAAGAACCACGTGTGCACAAGCGTAGTCTTTGCTGTTGTCACCAGGCCTGGCTACATGCAGAAAGCCAACTGACGTTGTAATTAATACTAGGTCAGAAAGGGCTTTCTGCTTTCTGTTTAGCTGATTCTGGCAATCTGACTCTTAATGGATTGCAGGTGTCCCGAGAACAGATAAAGAAAATGGAGCTACCTCCCCTCTTGGGCCAGGTTGTTCCGACATTCCTCAGTGAGCAAATCTGACGCAGACACACGTAGGCTTTCAGGAGCTGCGAGTCACTGCTGGTGTTTGCAGCTTATTTTAGAAGTAGTGATTTTAGTTTTTAAAACATGGTTATTTTTCTGCAGTGCTAGAGTTTCTCTTTTCCAACTTACTAAGGTCTATTATAGAAGTCAAGTCAGTCAAAAACAAAAGAACTTTTTATTCTCACTGCCACTTTCCCTTTTTAACAGACACGAAACTTCCCTAGTTCTTTACTGACTCTTCTGTTCTCAGCATTTTTCTTTGGAAATTCATGGCCTACTTTGGTCTGTTGCCCCTTTACATCTTAACACATTGGTTAGTTCTGGAGTAAACTTTAGTCCTAACTGCCGAATAAACTCTTTTTAATTCTGTGATTAACAGTCTGAAGTTTTGCAAGTGACTTGTGAATAAAACATTTCTCCTTATCTGGAGAGGGGTGAATAGCCTTACATTTTATTTACCTGAATCATTCCTTTCTGACTTCTGGGTTGGTTCGGTGTGTGAGCTGTACACCTGGAAGTTTGTGCTCTGTAATTTTTCTCAGTCTATCAACTTTTCTTCATAACAGTTCTAGGTAGTACTGTGGAGTGGAATCTGGCAAAGCAGGCATTTGTAGAGGGTGGGGTCAGACCAGAGAGAGACTGTTGACACAGTCTATTAGATCTTCCTAATTGCAGCCAGAGGCACTTACTGATAACTGAAGCGGTTTTTGTCCTGTACTTTTTCCCTTTTGTGGTCTTCCCTTCCACCCACCCTTTTTTTTTTTGTTCCTTTTTTCCTCTGTTACAGTTTAGAAAACGCTAAACCCTCCTCCCAGGCAGCCTCCGTCACGATCCCTGATCACCTCAGCATCAACCTCTCTCAACCCTCCACCCCTTCTTCTTCTTCTTCCTCCTCCACCACCACCCCCTCGCTCGCCACAGCGGGGACCTCCGACGCACCCTCCAGCCTCCCCAACCCTCTTCCGACCGCCCCTTGTGTCTCCAGTCTGCTTGGCATGAAACCCATCCCTCTCCTGGCTCTAAATGTTGTGTCTGCTGCTAAGGGTCCTGGGGCTTCAGCTGCCACCACCGCCGCCTCTGCTGTGCCGTGTGTCACTAACAAACTGAAAGGCGAGAAACAGAGATTCTCCCCCTACTGACGCACATCTTGAGGCGCTCAAGTATTTCTTGGTTCATTTTGTTTTCCTTTGTTAACATTGGTGAGAAACAATTGTGAGCTTGTGACCATTTCCTTTTTACTATTTTGGGGGCTAGCAGGGTGGGGGTGGGGCCAGTGGTAAACCCATGTTTAGGTTAGGCCGCCTCAGCAGAGTGCCTGTTTCAGAGTCTGACTTGTTGAATCCTTTATCTAGAGCGCAGTTCTCCTCCTCTTTTCCATTGTTACTTTTTTGTAGCTTTCTTCTGCCTTGCAATATAAAAATGTGTTAGGCTCTGTGTTAATGAATAAAAGCTTCTTCGTTAACTTCTTAAAAAATTATTTAATGGTTATCAGCAGGCCGCCTTGGCCAGATTTGTGTTTCTAGCTGTAATAAAGTTGCCACAGTAAGAACCTTAGTCCACTGTGTGCTGTGAAGGGTCAAAGGGGTGGGAACTTGTGGCTTGTGGCTATTCAACTAGGAAGTAAACTGCCTGGGGCGTTTTTGTACCCTGACTACTTTTGTGGTCCTTTGTCATTACTCCCCACAAAGGTCTATGGCATATTAAATTCCGACTCGGGGTCTTTCCTCACTGGCAAGAAGTTTCTGTAGTGTGAACAACAGATTCTGATGTCTCAGATTCCCTTGCCTTGTCATAGCAGCAGGTAACAAGGCTGTCCGTCCCGGGCTTGTTGGCTCTGGAGAGTGGTTACTCTGAAGATCTTTCAGTAGGGCGTACATACAAAGAAGCTACTTCTTTACCCAAAGTGGAGAAGTGAGGTGGGAAAGTCTGTAAATAAAGTTTTCTAGCTTCTGTCTGCGTTGCTCTGAACTGGCATTCTCTCTTTCTGGGACATGGGGTAAATCTTGAACAATCTGACGACCAAATTTGACAGAATTTTGTCCATCCTAAATTAAACTGACCCCTGTAACTTGACCAAGTAAGTGCCTTCACCCTTCTGTGCCCTGCTGTTCTATCCCACCCACCCTGTCATGGCAGGGAATTTTGAACTTGCATTTAGAAGGAACCCTTCCTAATAAACTAAATCGGAAATCCACTTATTTCATAGTTTTATTTAAATTTTTTTGACTTGCATATCACAGATAGCCAAGTGTACTCAATATCCCTGAAATCTTACTCTTGTCTCAAGACCTCGTCATTTTCTCCACAAGAGTGAAAGTGCTTTAGGTGTGGTGACAGAAGGCGTCTGGTAATTTTTAGTGAGGTTGAGTCGAGTGTTCTTACTAGGCCATGGGAGACGGGGCGGTGGGGGGGTCAAGCTTTCTTTCCTTGATAACCTCCCCCATGTCCCTGGGGGCTTGTGCTGCCGGTGCGCACAGGCACACGCGCACACTGCTCGCGTCGGCTCCTGCCGCAGTGGCGTCACCCTGTGCTGGCCTGAATCCCAGCTTGCACCTATGAATTGGTGTTAGTGTCTCAAGTTTGAGTGAAGGGTTCAGAGGTGAGCTGCTTTCCTTGACCAGATGGGATTTTCTCATGTCAGTTGCTCCTGTATCACGTTACATGGTGCAGATCTCCGTTTTGGTGATCCTTTGGCATAGTTAATCTTGCTGATAACTATCTCATCTCCCCCCAGAGACCTGGTTTTTATTTTTACCTAGTTCTTGATTTGAAGCCCTCCTAATGTAATAAGTACTTTCTAAAGGATTGCTGGGAAGGAATCCAGTATTTAAGGGGCTGATGACCATCAGCACCTATAAAGAAGCCTATGTTAGATATTCTGGGCGCTCGCAGCTCCTTTTCTCCTGGCGTCCTTAAAAAACATTTCTGGTTGGGTTTTCCCTTCTCGCACCCTCTGCCCTCTTATCCCACCACCAGTTCTTACTTGGGTTCTATAAATTCTGGACAGCTCCTCTTGGTACCAGAGGCGTGCTCCTGGAACTTCTTAGAAAAAAATTATTTTTTAAGGTCCTAAATCTAAACTGCCTACCAGCTCCTTAAGTACTCAGTTCCCACTGAGTTCTGCGAGTCAGGGTCCATTTTGAAGTTAACACAAATCTGTGCCATTTAGGACTGTTAGTTTTTTGGGGTGGGGAAAAAAAATTGGCATGAAAGTCACTGGCTGGCGGGCTTATTTTCCTGACCATAGGTGCTTTATCCCCTTTTGCATTAAAATTGACAAGGTATCACTCATGTTTTTGGCTAAAAACCACAAATTGATTATGTCCGTGAACTAAGAAAGTCTTTATGAGGAACTGGAAATGCATCTTCCACATTTAGTTCTGTTCAAAATGGAGATTAAGTCCTCTGGGTAGCAACTACCAGTGAAGCAGGCTGAATGCCTAAATACTTTTCCTTTAAGGACCCAAGTAGATTCTAGAACTTCAAGCGATCTGTTAGCTTTTACAGGTATGTTTGGAGGGAGGGTTTGGATTGATAATAAAAAAGCAAAGATAGGAGCTCTACAAAGTCTTGAAAACTGAGCCTAAAGACTAAAATGAGAGCAATTCTGGAGTATAGCTTTATAATTGTTAGAGCAATAATTTTAACATCCCTTAGCACTTACAGGCTGTTGTCTCTTAGTAATAGCCTTCACGTTGATAATAGACACCCAGAACTATTGTAAAGGCTTCTTTGGAGCCGTCTTAGTGGTCTCATGGGGTTACTTCTCAGTTGTTCCCCAAACCGCTTTCTCCATCAGTAGTTTGAGAGGGGCTAAAATAAACTCAGAGGTAAAGAAATACTGCTTCTGTGTATTGTGACCCTCTGAGAGGAGACTTCGCTGTATGACATTTTCAGGAAGTGCTTACATCTCCCCCAGATTTCAAGGTATAGTTTGAGTCACTCATCAGTGTCCAAGTAACCGAGGTCTGAAGTGCCCTTTAGTTCTAAGGTATTTGCCTCGGGAAACTCGAGCGCAGAGGTCAAAGGGTTACGCTGCTTCTTTAGGCCAAGAAATCTTAAAATGTCTCCGTTGATACTGAGTTGTTGATTATTCTTCATTTTTCACCAACTGGGTGGAAGCTAGGAGGTTGGGTGCAGCTGGGCACTCAAGACTAATGTTGAGCTCTCTCTTGTTACAGGCTTTCCTCGGAGACGGGTGGCATGGGCAGCAGCTAGAACAATGCAGACTCATCCATAGCCCTTCTGCTGTTCACCACCACTCATGATCCGTCTGTGTAGTTTCTGAACAGTCAGCGATTCCAGGTTTTAAATAGTTTGTAAATTTTCAGTTTCTACACACTTTATCATCCACTCATGATTTTTTAATTAAAGCGTTTTAATTCCTTTCTCTGTTCAGCTGTTACTGCTGAGATCCATATTTAGTTTTATAAGCTTTTCCCTGGTTTTTTTTTTTTGTTTGTTTGTTTTTTTTTTGGCTCATGAATTTTTTTTTGTTTGTTTGTCATGGAAATGTAAGAGTGGAATATTAATACATTTCAGTTTAGTTCTGTAATGTCAGGAATTTTTCAAAAAAAAAATTAAAAGATGGACTGGAGCTTTTTCTTTGTGAATAGAAACGATGCCACAGTGATTCATGTGGGTTTTATTCCTTTGTCTTGCTGTTACTTTTGCAACTTTTATCCCTCAAAGGACATGCCCCTGCTTGGGTTTTGAATATAAGCCTTTACTCCAGCTAAGATGTTTTCTTCTGTTTTACCTCTCCATATTTTTTTGTCCCTTGATCCTATTTTCCCTTCTGCCTGCATTACAGTGACCTTTAATAGTTTTAGCGAGCTCACTGCTGTTGGTCGGTGACAGGCGACATACATTTTTCCAGAACTCAATCTTCAGAGTTTAGGCAAGCCTTTTTCAAATGGATTTGGGGGCACATGCTTACACATGAAAGTAGTGAATGTACCTCTGACTGGGATTCAGGTTGCTGGGGCTGTCGCCCCCTGTGCAGGCTAAAAACTTTGTCTCTTACTTTCCACAGTAGGAGTTATGCATTTTAGGGTCTTCTATTCTGCTAAGATTCTTTAGAAAGATGTGCCTGCTTCAGCATCTGCAGACAACTTGATGTTTGGAGGTTTAAGTGATGTCCATGTCGTTAGAAAAGGAGATTTTCCAAAGCCCTTGCAATATTTGGAGTCCAACACTCCTACTTCAGCTTGTGTGCTGTCCCCATCGTTCACCAAGAAAACCCTCAACAGCTGGGCCTGCGTGGAGTGGTTATATTTCAAGATTTCTCACGGGGGTTACAATATGACAGTCCCCTCCCAGTCAGGCACCAGGGCAAAAGCAGGAACTTAAACCCCAGATCTTCAGCCTGAGCCATCACATGCTTTCGTGGTCTCCTCACCTCCCCTCGGGCCCTGGGCCAGGGCTCAGGCAGGGAAAGGAGCGACAAAGGAGTTACGGAGTTACATCGCCGCCTGAGAAACCTCGGGGCGGAGGACCAGCCGGAGCCTCCCTCCTCCCAAGTGCAAAACGTGTAAACAGTAAACAGAACAAAAAAGTGCAGTCTACGTGGCTCCCTTTTCTGCTTCCCAGGGCTTGAGGAGAGGACAGAACGTGAGCCAAACCACTTGCTGAACGTGACGGGATGAAGCGGGAAGGGGCCCGCCTGCCCTTCCCACAGTTCCAGGGCAGTACGTACCCTTCGCTTCCACAGCTGCCAGTGTCTCTAGAGCTTTAGCAGGTGAATTGGTCAGGGTCAGTCTCCACTGGGCCTGATTCCAGGCTGGGCCTGCCCGTCTCTGTTAATTATGTGGCGCATATATATTATTTATATAAATATTTCTCTATGTACAGGAACAAGCCAGCCTTTCATGGAGGGAGAGAGGCTGGGCGCTGCAAGGTTTCTCCACTGTTGTTGTCCAGCTCAGTGCTGTCACAGTCTGAGTCCTCAGAATTGCGAGGGCCCTGTGAGGAAGAGGCGGTGCGGTGAGCAGTAGGTGCGACTTGACCCTCCCCGGGCCTTCCCAGTGCATGCTGGCCTCAGCCGGCTGGGGGCTGCCGGTGGCAAGCGGCCCTGCCCCTGCCCCGCCCCCCAGCACTAGGCCTTGGTTCAGCTGCAGGAGACGTGTGCTCCAGGTGACTCTGGCCTGCCTTTCTCTGCCTCCCCGGCCTCACTCGGCTGGCACAGCCTGAGCTCCCCAGCACCTGGCGGTGTCAGTCAGACTCACCTGCTCCGCTCGGAGTCGGTCCTGGTGTGGGAGAGGCAGGGAGCAGGGCTCGTGGCCAGGGGTCACTTCTGAAGCAGGGGGGTCTAGTGGGATTTCCGAGCCCTGGGAGCACATGTCGTCTGAGCGCTCGTCAGGCCGCTCGTCGGTGTTGGTGCTGCCGACCTCGGGGGTCCCGCTGGGGGAGGGCTCGCTGGCTGTGCCTTCCTCCCCGTCCGACGGGTTCTCGGAGCTGAAGGTAGAGAGCGACTGGCGCATGTTCAGGCCCTGTGGCCACCTGATGGCGACAGAAGAGGCTAGAGCTCGTGCCCTTGGGAGCACAGAGCCACTGCCCCTCGGCCCTGCCTCACCTCTGGCTGGGCGCCAGCTCGACCTCACTGTCCACCTCCCCTTCCTCTTCCTCAGAGGAGATGCCGCGTTTCTGCAGGGGAGAGGAGTAAGGACAGCGTCGTCAAGGGCCATAAGGGGGGGAGGGCCTAAGATTAAGGGCATGATTTTGGGGCGAGTTAAGATTCAGACCCCAGGGATTACAAGGAGGGGAAGGACACCACACTGACCTGGCTTCTGGTGACGGCAGCCCGGTACAGCAGTGCGGCGGGGGTCAGGTGCTGGGGCCCAGCCCTGCCGCCTCCCCGTCCCGCTGACCCTTCCCTCGCCGTTCCCGGCAGCCCTGTGCTGTCACCAGGCCCCACTGGTGGGGGCGGTTCCCCTTTGGCTCCCCCAGGTGAATCTGGGCTGGTGGAGCCTGGTGCTGATCCCTCACTTGGGGGCGTGTCACCCCGAGCTGGAGGTGGTGAGCCGGGATCCCCAGCACCCCCGGTGGCCCCGCGGCTCCGGGCTCCCAGGGCTGCTGACAGCAGATCTGGGGACGATGAGGACATCTTCCGTAGCAGGAGATCGTGGTGCAGCCCGCGGAGGGCGGGGGGACAGGCCTCCCAGGCGGATGGGCCCCCTCCCGGGCCCCCTGGGCTTCCCGGCTCCCCGGGTTCGTGGGGCGGCACAGCTGCACGAAGCCCTGGCAGGTCCCCACAGCTGCCCTTGGCGCTGGCCTTGCGGTGACGGGTCTTGCCGCGGCGACTCCGTCCTGGTGACGGGGGCCCCTTGGGACATCCGGGAAGCCCCACCCCACTCAGGGCAGCGTCTAGTTTAGGCAGCAGAGACTCCGTCTTGAGGATGTCTGGCCTGGCGGAACACAAGGTGCGTGAGGGCCACAGCTCTCTGCCTGGGCCCTCCTGGCCCCGCCCACACTGCATCCCCCCCCCCCCCCACACACACACCCCGTTCTCAGACCTCAGCATTTGTGAGCTCTGGTCCCACCTTTTGCTGTGGGGTGACAACTTCTGAGGCACATTCCTCTTTTTAATGAGCTTCTCCATTGTGTTCCCGTGCAGGAGGCCTCGGGAAGGGTGTGACTTCAGCAGACCCGGGCATCTCCGCTCTAAAGCTTGCTCCCTCCTAAAGGCAGACAGGCAGTTTGGCGTGTGACCAGACGGAAGAGACTGAGGCAGGCAGCTCTAGCTCTGCACACGGGAGCTGGTACCTGCCGGCTGCTTACCTGAGCAGCTCCCGCTCTTTGAGCTCCAGCTGCAGCATGAGGGCGTTCAGCTCCATGTACAGGTTGTTGGCCCTCTCCAGCTTGCGCTCGTAGTGCTCCCTGATGTCCAGGGCGTGTCTGAAACGAGCAGAGGCCCGAGGTGAGCGGGGACTGGTCCGCAGCCCCTGCTGTCCACGACGCCACCCGGGCCTCCCTCCTGGCGCCCCCCCTGCAGGGCCAGCTTGAGCCCAGCCAGGGGCCACCTGCAGGGAGCAGCAGACCTGTCTCGGCGCTGCTGCCCTCGGCAGTGTTCCGTGGAGCTGCCTGTTCTGCTCCCTGCTTTGACTCAGTCTTCCTCCTGCCGCCATCCCAGTTGTATGCATAAATAGACAGAATCCCACCATTTTTAAGGAAACACCTTCCCAGCCCCAGGCACAAACCTGAGCTCCTCCCGCCTCCGCATCACCAGCTCCTCTTCCAGGCGGTGCAGGCAGGTCCCTTCTGACTTGATTTTTTCAAAGTGTAGCTTCACCTCTTCCCGCCACTCTGCCTGGGGTGGAGAGACGGTGCGGGTTGAGGGGTGCCCCACCTCGGCCGGCAGGCCGGGAGTCTGCAGGTGCCTGCACCGTCTTGAGTTGTGGAGTGAAAGGAGTGGGGTGCTGGCTGGACCCTGGGCAGGTCTAGGCAGTTCCATGCCAGTTACGCCGGGGAGCCTCCCCTCAAAGGGCATCCTCTCTGCAAAGGGGGGGCGTGAGGGGGTCATTTTCCTACCCACAGCACACCTGGGACTTGAAGTAAGTCTCCTGGGGTGTGGAGAGCACGTCCGCTGAGGCGATATCCAGGTGCAGCAGGATCTGTCGAAACGACGGGCGATTTCGGGGTTTGCTGTTCCTGGAGGGGGTGAAGTGGGGGGAGAAATCAGTGAGCACAGGAAGGTCTAGAAAGGGGCTTGAAGCTGAATTAATCCTCCGACGTGTGTGCCCAAACCTTTTTCTCTAATGCCACGGAAGAAATAGTCTGGGAAATGCTCAACGGGACAAAGCTTGGAGCCCTCCTTCCGGATCTCAGTTCCGGCGAGACCCGAGGGCCTTATCATAACCGTGCTGTGAGGGGTTCCCACGCGCTGCTGTGGCAATTAGAGCCCCGTTTCACAGGTGGGGTTGATGCCCCTGGCCTGACCGCACAGGTCTGCGGCGACCTAACTCCCCTGCGCGCCTGTTGACCCACCCAGGCCCCAAGGGCGTCCTGGCTCCTCGCACCCTTCAGTGTTCTGCGTGTGGAACCTGGCTGACCCACTGTGGGCAGCACCCCGATGATTCCACCTGGGCCAGCCTTACCAACACTGGCGGAGCAGGATTTTGAAGCCGTCTGGGCAGCTGGAGGGCACAGGTAGATGGAGACTGTTGCTCCCCACACCCCAGATGATGGCTGAAGAGTCCACATCTTTGTAGGGGATCTCACCGGTCAGCAGCTCCCACAGCACCACACCAAAGGACCTGGGGGGTGAGGGGGAACCTCACTGGGCAGGGCTCTCTCCAGAGAGACTCGGCCACATGCTCCGAGCCCCTCCCTGTGCCGGCCACCTGCTGCTAGTCCCCAGCTTGGCCCTCACCAGATGTCCACCTTCTCAGACACAGGCTCGTTGCGGATCACTTCAGGGGCCATCCAGGCTACTGTCCCTGCAAAGGACATCTTGGTGCTCTTGTCACTCAGCTCCTTGGAAGTGCCAAAATCGGAGATCTTCACCACATCATCGTACGTGATTAGCATGCTGGTAGAGAGAGTAATCAGCCGGGGTCCGGGCCCCGACACACTTCATCTCGCTAGCAACTTTACCGTTCTAGTTTATTAATGAGGCAATTAAGATTTTATTTGTTTTTGCATAGAATAACGGGCATAGGCGGGGGCGGGGGATGGATTGGCCAGAGATAGATCAGGGCTAGTAGAACAGGAAGATCTAGTGAACTACCTTTGCTAAGGCCCTCCCTGGTGGCGCAGCGGGTTAAAGCACAGCAGTGAGTAGCTAAAGCCACTGCAGCATGAGTTCGATCCCCGCCTACCCCGGAACTGACCCACAGGGCACAGCAGACCTCTCCTGACCCGCCCGCTGCTCCCCTCAGCAGTGTACTTCATCCATCTGCCTGTTCTGCTCCCCGCTCTCTCTGGTGAAGCCTGTCACCCCCTGCACCTCTGGCCTGTACCCCAGTTCTGTATGCATAAAAAATAAATCTTAAAAAACACGTTTGCTGAGGGGAGCAGCGGGAGACAGGAGAGGTCTGCACCATGTGGGACAGCATCCGACCGGGGAGCAAACTCGGGCTGCCGTGGAGGGCCATCACGGTGGTAGCACTGAGGCTGGACCCCCCCAGGTCACCAGGAAGCTCCCTTACCTTCTATCTGAAACCATCTGGGGCCCCCGGAAGCAGGGAGCCCTCCCAAGATAAGGCTGCCAGTTGAGGACGGTGTCTGAGATGGCCACACGGGCTTGGATAGGGCCGGAGAGCAGGGAGGTGGCCACATGGGCTTGGGTGGGGTCATCTTAAGATCCCGCATACCTGCTTCTCCCTGCTTGTTTGCTTACTTACTTGGGGGACTTGAGGTCTCTATGGATGATCTTGTGCAGATGCAGGTAGTTCATGCCACCAGCGATGCCCATGGACCAGTCCACCAGCAGGGAGGGCGTGACGGGCCGGCCAGCCCGCAGCACCTCATACAGCTGGCCCTGGGCGCAGAACTCCATGAGGATGCAGTAGCAGGGAGCCTGGGTGCACACGCCCCTGGGGACGAGCACAGCGCCATGAAGGCCCGGCTGGCCCCGCCTTCTCCCACGTCACCCCTGAGGCCCCCGTTCCCACCCACGTCACTGGGCATCTGTCAGGGAGGGTGGGGTGGATCCCCGCTACCGAGTAGGACCCGGCCGCAGAAGTAGCCCCTGCCCTGGACCTCACTTGAAGGTGATGATATTGGGGTGCTTCAGCTTTCGCAGGTGCTTGATGTCAGTCTCCTTCAGGTCCCGGACCTTCTTCACGGCTACCTCCTCCCCGTGGAAGCGTCCCAGGAAGACAGCTCCCTGGGCCCCAGAGCCCACCCACTGCAGGTCCCGGATTTCCTCAAAGGGGACCTCCCAAAGGTCTGTGGAGAGGAAAAACAGCGCCCCCAGGCTCAGAGGAGGCCACATCCGCCCTTGGGCTGGCTGACAGGACTGCGGGACTAGAGGCAGAAAAGCATCACAACAGGCCAGGAAGACGAGGGTTGGCCAGAGGAAGGACAAGGACCGGCAGGCCAGACAGCAGCGGGGACGTCGGTGGGGGTGGGCAAGAGAGGGGGCTGGGCCCCGGGGAGTCATCCGTGACTCAGTGGGGCTGTGCACCCGATCCCTGGCGTGCGAGACCAGGAGGGGCCCCCCACAGCGCAGGGCCTACCTTCCTGCTGCTGCTTGTGCTCCGTGGAGTAAGCTTTGCCGATCATGGTCCAGACAGGACGCAGGCAGCCAAAGAGGCCCTCCAGGAAGCCGCTGCCGCTGTGGCACTGCAGCCGCACCTCATCCGCTCGCACTCGGGACGCCCGACTCTCAGGGGACCCAGCAGCTCCCCCTGGGCCCCCTGCATCCTGCTCATGTAGCTGCAGGACACTGTTGGCGAAAGGCTCAGGGGGCGGCTCTCCGCCTGGGGAGGGGCTGGGCCCACCCCCGCCCTGCCCCCCAAGGGGCACGACATCTCGCAGTACACACTGGGTGGGTGTCAGGTCCTTCTCGGGGGTGCAGTCGGAAGTGTCTGGGTCCAGCTTGCGCATGGACGCCTCACTTAGGGTGGACACGAAACCCCCAAAGGAAGGGGAGGGCGTGCGGGTCTCGTGGAGGCAGGCCATGACCTCGGCCCTGGCGCGGGGAGTGCCGGACCCTGTGCGGAGCAAAGGGGAGCGCCTCAGAGCCACTGTGTGGCAGGTCAGGCCCCCCAGACCAGAGGCCCGAGCTGGGGGGCGGGTGGCAACCTCCCCCAGGAGCCCACGCGCCCCTCCCAGGACGCCTGATACGCCGGGCTTCCTCTCGGAACCTACTGGTCACAGAAGTCGACCTCCCTCAGGTATGCGGGTGACATACCTGTCCTCATGCTCAGGTAGGCTCAGGCTCGTGCTAACCCCTGCTGCCTGCGAGACTCCCGACTTGGGCTCTGGAACACACACCGCTTTCACTGAGCTGCCAGGGCCCTCGCGGGCACTCCGGGTCTGGGGCGGCTCACGGTGGCCACATGCCGGGCCGCGCCCCAGGGCGACACAAGGCGGGGGCAGCGGGCCCCCGGGGGCCTCAGGCGCTCTCCACCCATTCTGGCCTGGCACTCGCTCCGCTGGGCCTCTCCAGCCCCGCTGCACTCAGGTGAGGCTTATCCTGAGGCCCACCGAGGGCTCACACCTGGGCCTCCCTTTCGCGTGCTCACAGGTGCGCACGCGCACGTCTCCCAGGTGCGTGGAGGTCGTGAGCACACCGCAGCCCAGCGCCACAGGGCCGCCCGCCACGGGGCGCGGAGGGGCGTCCTCTGCTGCTGTCTCCTCGCGGCCCGGCGCCCCCGGGGCAGGCCCGTGTCCTCCCCGGCTCCGCTGACCCGTTCCCAGCGTCTCACACCAAGACCCCGCGCTCCAGGCAATGGAGACCCGGCCCAGCTCAGACCTGGGCACTACCTAGTTATCTGACACGCCAGCGGGCAGGGACATTACAACAGGGAGGGCGGGACGCCACGGGCGGGCACAGACAAGCGGGCAGACAGCGCTGCCCGGAGGGAGGTTGGCACAGAGAGGCTGCCGGCCCCAGGCGGGCACCCGCCAAACAGTCCGAATCAGCCCCCCTCAGCCGCTTGCTGGCTGCTCCCCGATTTCCCCACCACCCTAAGGGACACACCAGCCGCACTCGGACACACGGAGCTCTTCACGCTACGCCACACTGACCAGAGCGTCACACCGGGAGTCTCCTGCTCTCCCACCCGCTGCCACACCTGGTCACACTGCTGCGCGGCCGCAGGAGCACAGCAGTCCTGGGCCGACAGCGGCTCCTTCCTCGCCCCTCCGCAGCGTCCGCGGGTCGGGGCTGGGAGGCAGGAGGCTCCCACAAGGCTCCCTGGGGTGACCCAGGTCCCGCGGCCCGCACTGGCGTGTCGGGTGGTCGTGGGCTCTTAGAACAGCTTCTCGATTTCTCCGTCAAGACTTTCAGGGCTCCCTGGTGGAGTTAGGTCTCAGCACGGTCACCGCCATCACCGCTGGGGCCTGAGTTCCATCCCCGGCCAGGCAGGGACCCACGAGCCGCAGTAGCAGACCTCTCCTGACCCGCCCGCTGCTCCCCTCAGCAGTGGACTTCAGTAGATTCACCTGTTCTCCCCACTCTGTCTCTGGTCAATCTTCTCCCCCCCAAACCTCTGGGGGTTCTTATGTAAAGATTTATTTATTTATGCACACAAGAAATGGGGTACAGGCCAGAGATGTGGATGGGTGTGTGAGAAGACTCACCAGAGACAGAGTGGGGAGCAGAACAGGTGGATCAACTGAAACACTCTTCTGAGGGGAGCAGCGGGGAGACAGGAGAGGTCTGTGGGCACTCCCCGGCCGGGGATGGAGCTCAGCCACAGTGGCTGTGGACAGCTTTACAGGGCTGAGACTAAGCCATTGCGCCACTAGGGAGGCCCCACGCTGCGGTTTTTATACGCAAAACCCCACAGCTTTTTCAGTGGGCCTGGAGGCTGCCTATGTGCGGGGCACCTCTGGTCTGATGCTGTTCCGTTTCCTTGCCGCGGCCACGAGGAAATCGCTGCCCGAGTCCGGGCTCCGCGGCTGCCTCACCTGGCCCAGCACAGTTCCCTTTCAATGTCTCCATGTCCTGCAGAGCGCCCGCCCTGTTTTCCACTTAGCCTCTGAGTAGGATCTATTTCTGAAAGAGAGGCCAGCGTCCCCTTCTGCCTCAAGCCCCTCAGGAGCCCCAGGAGGCCTCCCCTCTGAGCCCTGACCCCTTCCAACCTCCCTTCTAGATGGTGGGTGCCCAGGCCCTGCAGAGCTGAGCCTGGAGCTTCGCTCTGCTGTGCGGCGTCAGGACGCCTAATGACAGGGGCCAACTGTGGGCAGCTCGAGATGGTGCCAGCCAGTTAGCGGTGCCTTAGCTCACTCACTCATTCATTTAATTTGCTTATGCACACAAGAACTGGGGTACAGGCCAGAGGTGGGGCGAGGTTGTGAGAGGCTTCACGAGAGACAGCGGGAAGCAGAACAGGTGGATCTACTGAAACACACTGCTGAGGGGAGCAGCGGGGAGACAGGTCTGCTCGCCCAGTGGGTCACTACCGGCCACTGGCTACAGCTTGACAGCCTGGTACTTTAACCCCTGCACCCCCTGGGACTCCCACTTTAGCTCAAAACAAACGATAAGATCAGCATTCTTAAGCCCATTTGACAGATTTTAAAAACCTGTGCTGAGTGAGCAGCCCTCTCACCCCCATCTCTTGGCCTCCAGGGCTGGGTCATTTCGCCCAGGCCTGCCTCCCACTTCCTCTCCAAGTTACTGCCCCCCTCGGCCGCATGGCTGCAGCGGTGGGGCCTAAGTCCTGGCTGTCCCACTCCCCAAGCCCTGGCTCTGCTGAGCCTGAGGAGCCCAGTAGGGCGGAACCTCGCTCCCCCCGACTGTGACTGAGCTGAGGCCTGAGCTGGCTGAGTGAGCATCAGCAACCTCCCGCCTCCATCACCATGGTCCTTTAAATTCTCTAGAGAACTGACACTCAGAAGCTGATATCCAGCTTCGAACCCCCAGAATAGCCACAAGCGCAGGCCAAAGCCCGAAGGTCCCCTCTGGAGACCACCAAAGGCTGCTGCCTGGGACCCAGCACCGGGGTTTTCTCAGGATCACGGAGAAGGCTGCGCGGGCCCCGGGCCGGGGGGTTGGGGGGGGCGGCTGGAGGCTTTGGGGCGCTAGGGGAGGGGCCAGGACGGCTGGCCGGTCAGCTCAATAACCAAGCGATGGCCACCGGAGGCGGAGAGGAGGGGGTTATGGCCGCAGCACCCCCTCCCCCCACCCCGACCCCCTTCCCGGCCGTCACGTGGCGGGGGGCGGCCTGGCGGCGAGAGGAGGGGTCCGGGAGGGACATAGTGGGTTGTGGGAAGCGCTGGGCGCTGCGGCGTAACCATGACGACTGGGCCCCAGGCGGCCCGTGAAGTCACCAGGACAAGATTAGCCCAGGGTCACGTGAGCGCGGCCCGCGGGGTGGGGCCGCCCCGGCCCC